AGAAAACTGGTTCCAACTAAGCTTTAAACATGTTACACCAATGGAATGTATTTGGTAGTTCAAAAAACACCGTACGAGAAGCTTTTCCAAAAAATCGATAAAAATACCCTGCAAGTAATAAGCGACAAAGGTGAAGTTAGCAGTGTTGAATCCAAATCTGACATCGAAACTCAAATAATTTAGTGACTCCATGGATGAAAACATTCTCATTTTAAAAGTAAAAGTATACTTGTTATTTCTAAAATATCCAGTAAAATATAACGTCCTTAAAGTAGAATTCAAGAAGCAGAATGGAAAACAGGTTTCGTTTATCCTTGACTGCAAAACAGGATGAAACAGTCTAATGTCAATGGCTCAATAGTTTTTAAAAGTTAAAAGTTCAATTAAAAAAAGAATAAAGGAATTTTCAAATTTTTTGTGAACAGACTGAAGCAACGAGATTCAACTCTTTGATTTGTTATGAAAGTGCAACCATGGCCTACTATATTACACGGCCGTGTATGTTACATTTTAGAGGCCGATTCTAAGAAGCCTATTATAAAAAAATACGGCTGCGCAACTATAGAGAAAACATATAACTATATCTCGTCTAGACTAAAAAGATAGTATAAATATAATATTACGAGTAGGAATATTATTAATAAAAAAGTATTCACGAAAAACTGGCATTTTTTGCTTTAATACTTGCGGTTTATGAATTTATAAACATATATATTTATGTATATTATATATATATATATACATATATATATATATATATATATATATATATATATATATATATATATATATATATATATATATATATATATATATATATATATATATATATATATAATGTATATATATATATATATATATATATACATATATATATACATATATATATATATATATATATATATATATATATATATATATATATATATATATATATATATATATATATATATATATATATATATATATATATATATATATATATATATATATATATATATATATATATATATATACATATATATGTATATATATAAATATATATATATATATATATATATATATATATATATATATAATATATATATATATATATATATATATATATATATATATATATATATATATATATATATATATATATATATTTGTATCTATAATATATATTTTTATATATTTGTACATTCCACAATTAAATTGACAACACTGGGAATTTACAAAAAAAAAAGGTTAAACTTTGTGTTTTTTTATATAATTATCTATTTATGTTTTATTTTTTTCTCCTTTTTTTTAAAGTATTATTTTTCTCTGTCTACTTTTAAAACTTTTAACAGCATCTTTTCGTACAGTGGCATTGATTATCTTCTGCTTATTGTTAAAAAAGACATTAATTATAACTTTAAAAGCAAATTTAAACCCCCACTCTTTGTGTAAATTGCAAGTAAAGCAAACTGTTGGAAAGTATTTTGATAAAACAAAGCTTGATACATCTTTGACATTAGCACCTTGTTTAGTTATTAAATTTGAAAGTTTATCTAAGACTGCAAAACATCCACATGTAAATTACTTAAGTGAAAGTGAAGGCACAGTAAGACCACCTTGTGAAAGTATTTGTAGATATGGGCAAATATTTATATTGCTTGCATCTATAGCAAGCGCAGACTTACAATCGCTACATTTGCTTCTTTTTATTAAATTTTTTTGCTATATAACCAGCAATTGATGTGGCAACTTTTTCTGTTTCAGGTGATAGAGTTAATTCTGATATCTCATTTGAATTTAAATCTAATGTTATAAGTATTTCATTATTAATTGGATTATCATAAATGTTCTTCAAATCTTCATCCCAAAAATTTACATTCTCCCTAATTAAAGTCCGACATGCTAAAATAATCTCTGAATGTTGAACGTCTAGTAAACTTACTAAAAATCTCACACCACTCATCTGTCGATAATGAAAAAATCTACGCTCTATAGGCTCACTTTGAAGTCGTGAAGTAAGCACATACAAATATCGTTCTTCTATAAGCTCGTCTATAAGCATTGCTAGAGAACGCAGAGTTGTGATAAGAGCAGATGATGTTTGTTTAGATAAGGTAAAAAAAAAGGAGATTTCTGCAAAAGTTTAATTCAATCAGCTAGTTCCTAAAAAATGTAGTTTTACCATCATCAAAAATAAATGCATTACCAAGTTTATTTGGACTAAATTGTTGCTTTAAATTTGAAACAGTCCACCATTTTTGAAAAATACTTAAAAAACCAGAAATGTCATTTCTTTCAGGAAAATAACTTTTAAAACTTGCAATTGTTTTTTCATCAAAAATCGACAGTGCAAGAGAAACATTTTGCTTTTTATTACCAGGGTGAAGAGTTTGATATGTAATTTTTGGAGCTTTTTTCAAATTATCTTGAAGATGTTCATCTTTAGAATGTAGAAGATTAAAATCTTCCCAAGTTATGAAACCAACTGGACAATTATAGACATCATCTTTTATATTATAAGTAAATGATGGAAAGACAAATTTTTTGCAGTGTAATAAATTATTTCTGATATATTTTTTATGTACGATGCAAGATTTTCTAACATACTCAAACTAGTTAACTTACCATTATGACCTTTAATTAACTATGGAAGGAGTGGAATATTATTTCCTTTGTATTGCAAAGCTACACATAAACAATGATCAATTTTACTGATTCAAGAACAGAAGGAAAATGCGTTAAAGGACCAAATAATAATTGTAATAAATAACACAATTGAGATGTTTTTTAAATTGAAAACCTTCTGGTGAATGTTTACTGTTTAACTTGCTCCATTCAGTTATTTTATCATTTTCAGAAAAAAAAACTAAGTTCATCTTCTTGAAAAATACGAGTTTTAGGTGGTCTTCTTAAAGCAATAGGTGATGGTAGTGTGGAAGGCCGTTTTAAGCATTCGCTTGAAAAAATTTCAGTAATAAGGTTTAAATTCCAATTTAACTTGCTTTTTACATCTCGGATAATGTACTTTTCATTAAAATGCTTTACACATATAACAGAATAAGGTAAAGGCACCCAATCACTACGGTTTACAAAACGAACCCAATAATTTAGCAACTGTTGATTTTTCAACGGAAAATGAAAAGAAGCAACTTTTATATCTTCCAAAAAACTGTTGTATCCAGTTTTACAACCATATGCAACACACTTATTAACCACAACATTCAGCTTTGCTAATATTAATAAATTATCTAAAATAGCATTATGTATATATAATATATATATATATATATATATATATATATGTATATATATATATATATATATATATATATATATATATATATATATATATATATATATATATATATATATATATATATATATATATATAAATCCATATTTTAAATGTTTTTTTAATATTGGATTTTAATATAAACACATATATTTAATGTTTTTTAATATTGTACTGTCATTATTTTGTTGCGTAAATAGGCCTCTTAGAATCGGTCTCTAAAATGTAACATACACGGCCGTGTAATATAGTAGGCCATGGAGCAACTTTGAAACGATTTAAATAGAGAAGACAGAGCAATTTTGTAATTTTGTACGTCTGTATAAGATATCCTTCCAATTCGGAATGTTTATTCAATATTGAAGAAAATGAAGGTTTCAAAATACCTTTGAAGATTAAAAGATTAGAAGATTAAAAATACCTTTCAAAATACCTACTTCAGAAGATTGCCGAAAGTTTGCTGTCTACACTTATTCCATCAAATCCAAACTTAGAATTCATTCATGAAATGTGTTTCGCCCACTTTCATTTAAAGATGAGCTTGAGGAAGCAGCTCAGCATTCTGGAAAAAACAGCTGCACAAGACAAACGGCACACTCAAGTCCTTTTAAAAGAAATGTTAGTCAATGAAGGTACTTGAAAGAAAACTACCAATCTTGAACTTTTCTTCAATACAGTGGAGACCATATCTCTAACTATTATTTAGTCTAAGCAAGTTTTGTTGCTGTATCATTATGGATTATTTTAACAAAAGTTTGATCCAGAGTAAATGACGAATTACTTAATTCACTTTGTTTCCTCAAAGCTTGTTTTTCATCAATACAATAATTATTAGTAAAGATATTAGATATTTATTTTATACTAAATAAAAAAAAAATAATTTTGTTTTTCTTTGTTTACTTTTTAATTTTTACCAGTTTTACCTATATTTAGTGGTAAGCTATGTTTTTTTTTATTGATTTACCTGTTAATTTAAAAGTTGCTAAAAATTCAACCCTAATCAGAATTAACGTCAACAACATCTAGCATCAGCATAGCATCAATCAGTATTAGCTTAAAAGTCAACTTGCCTGCGACTAATGCTCCATATTGTGGTAAAGGCAGTTCAAAAGAAAATATATACAGAAGTTCAAAAACTATTGCTTGCCACAATTTTGAAATAAATATTTTGAATCTAACATTTTGACAAAAAAAAAAAAAAAAAAAAAATAGTAAACGTGCCAAGTAAAGAGGAGTGTCTCAATAAACTTAAAATACTCAAGAGATGGAAAGATGCTTGGAGCGAAAAGGCAGCAAATAAATAATTACAAGCAGAAAATAAACAAAATAGTTACAGCGTCTTCAACAACAATGAATGCAGCAACCCATATCAGTGGTAAACAAAACAATAAAGATTTTGGCAAAGCTTAAACAATTAAAAAGAGTAAATAATATCAATGCTAAAATTCGAAATGCATGGTTTGGCTTTGTCAAATATGTGCACCAAAGCGATTTGTAAAATGCACCAAATTTTATTGCAAACTATTTCCGTTAATATTAATCGATGTTTTTTTGAATGTTGCAATTGTTTTTTTTTTATTAAATATTCCTTTTACATTATTTAAATGCTCAATTACTTTTAACTAATTCAAATTTTATTGAACTTTGTGATAACTAATTATATGACAACTGTACTTTAAACATTTATAGTTTATTGGATATACCCTTACCTAAAGATGACACTGTGTAAAAAATAAGGTGATTATATTATTAGACACAATACAGTTGCTAAAGTTTTAAGCTCTAAAATTAAAGATCGAACGTTACTTGATTCGATAAAATACATTTGCTAAACACAAATTTATAAAATGCATTTAAACTCTAAACAACTTTTATGATATTATTTAAGACTGATAATAATAGAGAAATAATAAATACAATAAACGTAGATTATAATACAAAAATCTAAATGAAAAGTAAGATTGAGTTAACAAAAATAACTTAAAGTGCATAAATAAGATTGCAAGAAAGCAAGAAATCGAATTACAAAAATATTTAAAAATATACGCACAGGTCGATGGTTATAAGGTAAAGAAACATGTTTTCATTTTTGAGCTTTTAGTAACGCAGCTCTAATACTCCAAAATATCACAGTTGTGATATCTTTAAAAAATCCTCCTACTTTGATGTTAAATTGTAAAAAATAATATATAAGTAGAGTTCAATAATGGTGCCGAAAGATTGCCATTAGAGTTCTAATAGGCACAAGATAATGGATGTTTCTACTCCATATCGTTAATCGGCTGATAAGTTGGATATACAACATTTTGTCTTATGTTAAGGAACTTAATAGCAAGTAAGTTGGTAAAAAACCTCACGTTTGGTAAAAATGAGTATATGCTATTTTTCTTTATACCCATCGACATAGGAAAACACGCGATTAATATTTATAATAGTAATGTTATTTGCCTTGATTATTTTATTCTTCAATAGATTTCACTCTTATCCAAATGGGTTCAACGGTATTTAAAGTTAACAAAATCTGTTTTGTATAATTCACATGACTTGGGTCGACAGAAACTTCAAAATGTAATAATGCTTTAACCAAAAACGTTTTAATTTCAAGCAAAGCAAAATTCTTTCCAATACAATTATAAATACCTTGCCCAAATGAGAGAAAAGACAATGGTGGTATTTCATCTATAAAAGTAAACATTTATAATGCGTATTCACTAAACATTTTTTATGTATGTATGTATGTATGTATGTATGTATGTATGTATGTATGTATGTATGTATGTATGTATGTATGTATGTATGTATGTATGTATGTATGAGTGTATGTTTGTATGTATTTATGTTTGTATGTATGTATGTATGTATGTATGTATGTATGTATGTATGTATGTATGTATGTATGTATGTATGTATGTATGTATGTATGTATGTATGTATGTATGTATGTATGTATGTTTATTGTCAGTCGTCCGAATATAGCCCGGGCAGCTAGGGTTTAACAATGAGCGTCCGGATGAAAACGAAAACGTCTGGGATGTTTATGAATTCAACTGCTAGTTTGAATTTTTGCAACCTAAAAAAAGCATTTGTTTATAAGCTTATTTAGGCAATCACACTTAAGTACATTTAGATAAAAATCATTGAAAGTATAACAGCTCTCTTTTTATTTAAATTTTTTTAACGGATTTACTTTGGAAATAAATAAATCAAATGTTTGCCAAAAATGCTTAGAACAAAAAATAAGTATTTTTTTACTTTATTCATTTTATTAATATTATTTTCTTAATTTTATTATTATTTTATTAATAAAGTAACTTTAAATAATTTTCTAATACTATCTACTTTTCTAGTTCAGCTTTTCTCTTCATTATATTCATCTTATTTTTTTCATTATATTTTTTTTAAAGGTTGTTCTAATTTTTTTTATTTATTATTATCGTGAAACAAATATTTTTATTGTGATTTTGTTTATAAATGATGCATTTTTTTGCGATATATAGTTTGTTAGCAACTATATATAAAAAACGCAAAAAAATCTAAAACTAACTACAAAACGATAAAAAGTTAATTAAATGAAGTATTATTGATTTTTAAATGACTCTTTCACTTTATATGCGTTTATACGCGGTTTGTAAGACACTCAGGTAAACAATAACAACAGGAAAACAATAACACTAGCTACTTCCGAATAACAATGAATCATTTTCTTTAAATATATAATAACCTTATCAAAAATATTAATTATAACACAAGTTATTAGTAAATATGTGACCTCGCCGTAGAAGAGGGACCACATGGCGGGATCTAGTTTATGAGAAAATCACGTTTTAACACAGTGACCTGTGGTTTTTAGGTTTTCTGTTTTCATTTGAATTTGATAAATGGATTATCAATTCATCTTAAAATTTCTTGTAATCAATTCAAATCTGAATAACTTTCAGCATTTTCCAAAAATATTACAAATAACATTTTTAATAAAACTTTAAATTTAATTTCCCAACAATTGCCATTTTTAAACTTTAGAATATAAAAAATCATAACTTTGGATGCAGGTGAGCTATTTTAAAGATCTTGGTGTCATTTTGTTCAGTTTAATTAGCTTGTTTCTGTAATATGAATAACTCATTCCCCCTACCTGGTTTATTTCTACCGCGAGGTCACATATTGTTTTTTTCTGTATTTTCGAAAAAAAAAATTTTTTTAAATCAAACCTGTCATAAATCGTTCCGGCTTAAATAAATAAGGATCAGGATAAACAGACTCATTCATATGTACGTTGTTAATTGAAATTCTTAAAAACGTGCCAGCAGGTAGATCATAATCACCCAACTTTGTTTCAGTTTTGTTTTTTCGAGATATAAATGACGCAGGTGGATGCATGCGTAATGTCTCTTTAACTACACAATCCAAGTACTTGATGCTTAAAACTTCTTCCCGTAAAATACTTTTTATATCAAAGACATTTTTCTTTATTTCTTCTCTTAGTTTGTTTTGAACATCTAAATTCTGAAAATATTTTACATTAAAATTATTTTAACAAGAAATTTTGTTTACGATTTAAATAAATACATCTTTTAACATTTTTTAAATATGATACCCTTTTTCTACTCTATTAAAATTATTTTTTTTACATATTTTAAAAACTTATAAAATATATACTTTATTCTTATGCATATTTTATATCTTATTCTATAATTTATGTAAACTACATTATCAATAATTAAAGCAAGATTTAAAAAAAATAAACAACCTTATTTAGTAAACTGTAAATTTAAAGTATTAACTAAGTTGATTAAGTAACAAAGCACTGTGGGATGTCTTATTTATTTTAACAAAGCACTGTGGGATGTCTTATTTATTTTAACAAAGCACTGTGGGATGTCTTATTTATTTTAAAAAACTACTGTGAGGAGTCACTTTTGTGCTCACAAAAACCTCAAACAATTCAGAAAACTTGTTAGAAAGGTTGTTCAATTAATTTGAACTAACAAACTCAGCACTTAGAGAAGTTAGAAATGCAATGAAAAAAAGCTATTAATTTATTCCTTATAATTGTGATGTGAAAAAACATATAAATCCAGGCACGCCTGAAGGGTCTAAGGGCAGGGGTAGCACACCGCAAGAGACTTTGCAAAATAATCAACACAGTATTTAACTAAATTTAATATGAAATACAAATAAAATATTTCAGTTAACCCAACGGTTTTCCACAAAATAAATAAAAAATAAATACTTCGTCTATTACTTTTACTCTTGAACAACACAAATAAAACTAAAGGTTATAACATGTTATTAAACAGTCCGCCCTTCCTTTTATTAAGGACTCGAGAGTAGACAGAATCGAAGTTAAGGATATTGGAGAATAGTTTAAAAATATCAGTTTACTCAACTTTTTGATAAGAGGGGTTGCAAGTCTTTTCTAGCCATTCCTTCGTGATTAAGTCAGATTATACAATTGCGAAGTATTATAATACATCCCAGTGGGCAACGGACCAAAAAAAAAACGTCTTTTGAACGTCCAAAAGACGTCCAAAACGTGTAAAAGACGTCCAAAACGTGTATAAGACATTTAAAAAACGTCTTTTTTACGTCCGTGTCTATTGGGATATTGCATATGAATGAACGCAGTTAAAATTGATCAGTTTTCTAATGTTTGTTTATAGGATTAACTAAGAATAACTTTAAAATACAAACACCGGCTTTTTTCATGTAAATTTTTTTTTTTTAATTTTGTGTCCCATTTTTGATTTTGATTTTATTTTTTTATTCTTTTAGTAGAAATGAATGCTTATAATTTAACGAAACTTTAAATAAAAAATTATTGAACTTTAAAAAAAAAAAAGATCAAGAAACAGTGCTTTGAATTTTTCAAACCTTACATCTGAGACCTCTGATTATGATAAAAGTTGGTTTAAATAAAATTTATTAATAGTTACATTCTGAAATTTTTAGTATGATATTTAATTAAAATTAAGATATATGTTAAACCCAGCAGACGCTTCTATACAGAGATAAATGAGCCACCTTAATTGCGTGTTGTTGTTTTTTTACAAAAGTTTGCATTTTGCTAACATAAATATTAGTTTAAAACATTATATTAAATTTTTTAGACTGGACCAAAGATTTAGCTGCAAGACAAGGAGTAGTCCGGAGACATGTTACTTAAGCATAGAAAAATTTAGTGTGTTGTGTATTAGAACTAGCAGCTAACATCACTAAATTTATACAAATTTAATCTTCTATATTTATATCAGCTATTACCACCAAATTTATAACAACAATAAAAAAAAATTATAATTTAAATGTTATGATTGTTATCTCCTATAAAAGTTATGATTGCTATGATTTTTTAATACTGTGTATTATTCGAAAAAAAAAAAACATCAAAAAAGTGTAAATAGTAGAATGAAAGAAAAAATCTAAAATAAAAATAATCACTAATAATCAATGGCAAAGACGTGCAACTTATACTTAGATTGAGACATCAAATTTATCAAGAAAGATTACTTAAGTTGAATTTAAAAACAGTCTAGAAGAAAAAAACATGGTTTGTAAATTTTTTCGCAAAAGTTAAGATAAGGTTGTTTGCATCATTATGCGTCACTGGATCAGCTGGTAATAGAAAAATAAAATTCAAACCAAGCATGTGACTATCAACATTTGTAGTGTTAAATTCATAGAAATTTCTTATAAACCAAAAAGTAAATTATTGAAACAGTTTACCTAAAGCAACCTCAAAGTGGTTGGAACTGGCTGTGAACAATTTCATTAATCATTGTTATAAATATTTCTCTCAATATTTTTATTATAAACAGTACATATTAGAGTCACCTTGTAACTTTAGTATACATAACATAACTTTTATTTATTAATTTTTTATATCAAATTTTTTTTGATTAGATTAAATTTAATTAGAGACTGTATTAAATTTAACATATCTTTGAATCTTAGCAGAATTAATATTATTTTGTTATTATTATTACAGCTTTAACTTTTGTTTTGTTATTATTATTACAGCTTTAACTTTTGTTATTATTATTACAGATTTAAATAAAAAAATGACACCCGTCCATACAAAATATGTGTCAAATATTTAAATAAAAAAATGTAAATGATTTGAATAAAAAAATGTAACCCGTCCATCAAACATATGTGTCAAATGGTCAACTTAAAACTTTTAACATTTCTTTTGGAATTTGTATATACTTTTTCCGATAATCAGTTTCTATCCAAAAACTATACGAAACCCTCAGTCAACAAAAAATAAAAACTAAAGCAAGTCTTGTGACTTGCCCAGATCTTAGTAGAACTCAAGTAGAACTCAACTTGTAGATAACAAAGTAGAACTCAACTTGAACATGAAACTTCAATTTTTTAGCGGAAAAAATTAAAAGATAATAAAATTGACATTTTAGGGTACCTAGATATGTAAGCTGTCACCCCATATAAATGCCGCTTATTGGTCAACTAGGTTGCTATCATAAGGTTCCGTGATAACCGGAACGGGAATTTTGATAGTTTTTGAAAAATTAAGATTAATATAATTAAACCAATAACAATATAAATTAAACAGCACATAATTATTTTTTTTTTGACATAATTAATTAATCTTTCATTAGCTAACTAAGGTTAAAGTAAAACCATACATATTTAACATTTTTCTGATTTTAATAGAAAAAAATCTGATCAATAAACAGTTATTAAAAAGGTATTAATCTTACCTTATAAATGGAAATAATTCAAACATCAACCATAAAATTGAATGTTTTAGAGTAAAAGTTTATTAAATTATTTAAAATTGATTTTTAAAAATAAAAACATTGGAGTTTATTGGTGCACTTTAAAGAAAAAGATAACAGACTTTTAAAAAAAAATTTTAAGATTTGTTATTTGCATAAAGAATTTAATAACAGTTAAAATTTTTATTTTTTGTATTTTATTACTCAAAAATACAAAAGAACTTATAAAAATAAGTAAATAAAAAGCGAAATAACTTTCTACTAAAAAACCGCGGTTCTATATAAAAACACTACCTTATATACAAATAAATACCGATCGGAATGATGGGTTTATGGGAAGCCATTTAATTTTTCAGAAGTAATTGATTTAAAGCTGAAATCCAAAATATATTTTTCAAAAATTGTATAACTTAATGGACTTAGTTCGAGAACGATCAAATATTTAAAAGAATGATTTGTTTAGCCAACTTATTTAGCCGTTAAGTAAATGCCATGAATATGTACAACGGTTATTGTTGCGTGATTAAAAGTCAAGTAAATTATAAACTATTTAAATGAGCCTTTATATTAATTTCTTTTGCATACCTAGTAAATAGGAAGATCTATTGAAGTACACTTTGTTTTCAGTTTCTCTCCCAACAATAAGTAAAACATAGATGTCTTATATCGAAGATTACGACCATTCAAATTTTTATGGACAGTTGTGTACATATATGTATATGTGTATATATCTATATATCTATATATATGTATATATATATATATATATATATATATATATATATATATATATATATATATATATATATATATATATATATATATATACCCAGCAAACATGCTTTCAGCGGACCGTGATGCGCAAAGCCGCCGCCGGTAAGCCAGTGCTGACCCTTTGTTATGCCTAATGCGGCTTGCCGCTACCGGGTAGCTGATGCAGGACCGGCATCCTATTTTATGTTGGCTTTCCGCCATCGGCCGAAGAGCGATAAAAAACACTTCGTCGCCAATGCAATTTTAAATGGGCATGCCAGCTTCGGTAAGTTCATCAGGATACGCTGTAGCTTTGCCCACACAATGCCAAAGTGGGCTTTTGGATGGCGGTAAGCTGTCGTAAAAAACATCAAAAGCAAGCGTTTCAAGCGCCATGAGACTTTGATTGGTCGATATCGATATATGGTTTTATTTTATTAGTGTTTATTAAATACTAAGAGGTAACTCTAAAATTAAGAGAGTAACATTATTAAAAAATAATTTTAGCCAAAAATTATTTTTTAATAATGTTACTTTAATAAATAACTTTAAAAATGTTACTTTGTTAAATTAAATGTTACTTTATTAAATAACTTTAAAATGAAGAGAAACTTTATTAAATAATAATTTTAGGCAAGTAAATAAAGTTTATTTACATGCCCAAAATTTAGGCATGTAAATAAACTTTATTTACTTCCCTAAATTTTTATTTAATAAAGTTTCTCTTCATTTTCAAGTTAACTCTTACTAAGCTTAGTAAGAGGTAACTCTTCATTTTAGAGTTAACTCTTACTAAGCTTAGTAAGAGTTAACTCTAAAATGAAAAGAAACATTATTAAATAATAATTTTAGGCATGTAAATAAAGTTTATTTAGCAAATAATTTACATGCCTAAAATTATAACATGAGCTTTACTGTTTAAGTTTACCTAACTGTTTACTTATAAACTTATAGCTTTACTGTATATTCCAAGACTAAGAGTCTTAGTCTTAGAATATACAGTAAAGCTATAACTTTCATATCTATTTGAAATGAAATACAAAAAGTATATATATTTTTTACTTAAGTTTATTAAATATATATAGACTCAAGTAAAAACATATATACTTTGTATATTTCATATCAAATAGATAGTGAAAGTTACAAAATAATATAAAGTTATAGAATAACATTGAATGGAAAGTTATTAAACATTAAATGAAAAGTTGTGGAATATATATACTCATATAGTTTATACGTCTTTATATAATATAAAGATATCTTTATTATGTTATGTTACATATTATGAGTCTTTGTAATATATTATATTATAAATACTCGTATATCTAGATATACGAGTATTTATAATATAATATATTATGAAGACTCATAATAAGAGTATATGAGTCATATAAAACTCTCTATGTTATTTTATATTCAATTTCATGTATAACTTGAAATTAAATGTGAACTATAGACTTTATATAGTATATACTATATAAAGTCTATAATTCACATTTTATTTCAAATATATATTTCAAGTTATATACGAAATTAATTACTATATGTAATTTTTAAGTTATATATGAAATTAGGTACCATATTATAAGCTATGTATGAATGGTATCATATGTTATATATAAATTTACGTATCAAATAAAGTTGTTTTATATTATTATTATACAACAACTTATATATGATACATAAATTTATATATAACATCATGTATTATGATATATCATATGACGTACGATATGTTGTATATGAATTTACGTATCATATATAATATTATATTATATAATAACTTGATATATTGAGTTATATATTGACTTATATATATTATATACTTAATATTATATAATATATGATACGTAAATTCATATACAAATATTGATATGTTGTAATATTAATACAACTTGAAATACATATATTTGATTTAAAAAATAAATTATAGACTTTATATAGATGTATATTGGCTTATATTGATGATTATATACTTTCATATGTCACGATGAGTTATGAAAGTATATATATATATATATATATATATATATATATATATATATATATATATATATATATATATATATATATATATATATATATATATAGATATATAGATATATATAGATATATATATATATATATATATATATATATATATGTATGTATATATATGTATACGTATATATATATATATATATATATATATATATATATATATATATATATATATATATATATATATATATATATATATATATATATATAATGGGAAATATCTGTATCTACTACGTATCATTATTATTAATTATTGCGCTTTACATTATATAATATATATTATACAATGTAGAGCGCATATTATATAAGGTAGGGTTAAATAATAATAATTAATGAAAATCTGTTTTAGTGAAAAGAATTAGCAAAATTAAGCTTTAAGGTTGCTTATTTTAATTTTTATTTAATTTAATATTTTTAATTTTTAAGACTTTTTTTTAAGATTGTCTTGAAAATTATTTTGACTTAATGTCACACTTTGAATTTACTGATTTACTAATATTTATTTGCAGGTTTAGTTGCTTTTGTCTCCATGTTGTCCAAGGGTTATGTCGGCCATGATCCTCATATTATCATGGGTTTAGCAGAGTTGTTTAACTTGCAAACTGGATTGAAGATTTTGAATAAATTTTTGTGTTCTTAATATGGTCACAAGTTTGTACTTGTTTAAAACCCTCAATCATTTGAAAATTATGGCGCCGGTATGGTAGTTATTCTAATTTTATAGCTTTCATTTTTCTCAAGTTATTTTCATAGTTTTTTATATTGAGCTACACTTTTGTTTGTACAGTGAAAACTATGTTCAATAATAAAACTATAATTTTATTTAGACATGGTAGATGTCCTAGAAAAAACTGGTAGTAACTCAATGTAGATACACATAGTCGATGGAGTTACTTGCTAATAACTGGCAATGAGACATATTTGCTTCAAATGATGCCTTTAAAGTTTGAAAAGGTTAGTTTATTATGCTCGTCTTATAAATCAGTGTCTGCTTTAATATAATTATCATAAAAACTAGGCATCTGAAAACATTCCTGCAATTTAATATCATGATAGTGACTTACTCTTGTCTTTTTCATGTTTAGATTTTTTCTAATTCAAATGTCGACTTTTTGTTACATGAAAAAAGATACTTATTTCAACCCCTCGACTATATTGGTAAGTAGAGCATTAGTCTGAAGTTGTATTTAAGCTTACTGTTTATTAAGTTTTTCTTTTTTCAAGAAAAGCACATAATATGACTTTATTTTTATATAGCTTTTTAAAAGTAGTTACATAACTTTTCAAATTAAACAATGTTTTTGCTGCTTTTATCTGTTAAATTATGTTTTAATATTAAAATGAATTTTATATTTATTCAATGCAGATACACTTAGTATGTGGAGTTACTTGTCAATAGCTGGCTATGAAACTTTTAAACGTAACATCTTTAAGGGCTGAGAAGGTTAGTTTGTTTCGTTATAATAGCTCTAAACTGAAATGTTTCAATATTTTGATTGGATATTGTTGTCTGCTTTTAGGTAAAAATTAGAAGTCTGCAGACTGCAACGTAAATCGATTTCAACACGTTATGGCTTCTCGAATATATTTAGTTTCCGATTGAAATGAGAATAAACTGAACTTATATATAAAGTGTTTACAATTAACTTTTTAAACTAGAAATACTCCAAAGGAGGTTCTCCAAACGCAAGTTAAGCAAAGTCGATAAATGTTAATATCTTTTATATTATGTTTTAGATATAAAAAAAATTTATGTGACTTTAATATTTATGTTATAATTGTAAATTGCAATTTTAAAAGGATTTTATTATTACTTCAGATTGTTCTTTTTGTTCATATATTTGTTCACCGAGTATAAGCGTTGCAACGTATGGCCTAATGATTTACAGTTATGGTAGTGTTTCTTTATGTTATGAGTATTATTTACTAAATTTGTGTTGATTTATTAAGTATTTAATGGCTATATACCTAAGCACAAAGTTAAAAGGTATTTGATGTGCTTTCCAGGCTTAAGCAGGGTTTGCCATACTTTTTAGCGTAAAAATTGAGCTAAAAATATTTAAAAATTTCCTTTAAGTGCGTTTTGTTCAAATAAAAAAAAAATAATGATATGCATATTAATGCATTCCAATCTTGATCAAAACATATAAAAGGTCCTATGTTATTCCGCTATCGTTTTTTCATCGGTTTGCCGCTGACGGACCGTTGTTAAAAAGTTTGCGATTTGCCGCCATCGGACCGCTATCGAACCGCCTGCAGATTGCTGCTAACGAACCGATGTAAATACGATGTGCAAGCCTACGCGGCAACGCAGCGGGCGGCCGACGTCGGCACGGCATAAGTGCTGACAGCGGTCCGTTGTCGGTCCGACTGCTCAATGTTTGCTGGGTATATATATATATATATATATATATATATATATATATATATATATATATATATATATATATATATATATATATATATATATATATATATATATATATATATATATATATATATATATATATATATATATATATATATATATATATATATAAATGTATATAAATATTAAAAAAACAATTTTTAATTGTATTTTTTTTTTTAATTTTCCATACAACTATCTTATATCCAAAGATTGGATTAACCAATATTTTTGCGTACCGAAGTACTACTCAAGCACAGAGTTGGCGGTGGCAGGATTTGAACTCGTATCGTTTAACAGTTTTTATTTGTCAGTAAACAATATTGTTTTACTCTTCGTTTGACGTTCTATCCAACTGAGCTATCCAGCCACTATATTAGATACTATTGCTTACAAAGGTATTTACTTTCTGTAAATTAAACTCCAGTCACTTGCTATTTAGGTAAATTTAGAATATTACCTAATAAAGTAACGGCTTTAACAATTAAATTTTAATGCAAATACAATAAAAATCTGTCAACTTACTGTTCCTAATGTGTATAAACACCACAGCATTGCAGTAGAAGTAGTTTCATGACCAGCAATTAAAAGCGTCATTAAATTATCTCTAATCAAATCATTTGTCAGTTTGCTCTTTTCTTGTTGTTGATCTTTTAAAACAATTGATAAAAAATCTTTCTCTTCTTTTACTAATCCATTTTCTATTTCTTTTTTACGCTTATCGATAAGCTAAATTAAAAATATTTTGTATAAATTTTTTATTTTTTTGTAAATATTGTTATATATTTATTTGTAATTCTTATTTCATTTCTTTTAACATAGCACAGTAAAATGTACTGCTTGGGCAGTATATTGAACTCTATGACTTTGGTAAGTATATTTTTGATTATGATTAAAAAACATTTTATCATTTGAAAAATGTATTGACAAAATTATCTATCGACATCTTTTGTAGATATCCGACAAATCAAAATTAACAATCAATTGTGTAGAGAAGGCGTAACTTATTTGAGGAAACAATCAATTAATCGTGATTTGATAGTTTTTTAATAGACAAAACAAAATTAAAAAAAAAAAGTAAAAGTCAGTACAATAAATCGTCGCCTTAGAGGGCAGAGGTTCTATCTCCATGTTGTGCTCAAATTCAACTATGACTTTGGGGACATCTATTATAAGTGCTAGAATCAGATTCTAGCACTTATAATAGATGTCCCCAAAGTCATAGTTTAATTTGAGCACAACATAGAGATAGAACCTCTGCCCTCTAAGGTGACGAAATATAAAACTGCTTATGTTAAATCAGACAAAACAACAAAAAATTGCATTTTATATACATTTAAATTGCTTTAAATTATATTATATTTTAAAAACTTTAAACTAGAAAACTTGAAATTGTAATGATGAGATACTTGTTTAACAAAATCCAGAACCGAGAATCCGCAATTGTTTTATTCTACAATTTCAAACTACCTTAAAGTATTATTTGACATTGTTTAAACGAATGTTTATATTTCAATAATGCAAAAGAAAAAAAGCTACATACAATGCTACTTGCTATACATTCATAATAAATTTTAGAAAATATGGCCATACTTCTGCGGGACCATTATGAATAAAACACCTGTGCATTGATAAAGTTTTTATAAACCTAGACAACAAGCTTATATTGGCCCGACGTTGGGCCAATACATGTTGATGCGTTGACCCAACGTTGAAATTCAATGTTGCATTCGAATATTAGCCCAATGTTGTATGTAACATTGGGCCAATATTATAACGTTAGACAAACCTTATTCTAAATTAGCTATATACTAAATTTCAACAACAAATGTTGTTTTATGCAACATTGGATCTTTGTTACAAATTGATGGTTTGCATCGTTACATTGAAATTTATAGAGAAATAAAAACAAAAAGGTATGATGCAAGTATAAAAATTTCTTTAATTTACATAATTTCTCCGTTAAATATACATACTGTAAACACCAAACATTTACAAAAACTAACACATTATATTTTAAATAAAAACCCCCTATAAAATTGACCCGCAAGAATATACAACATTTAATAGTTAAAATTATTTTTGGTTAGACTTAAATTATTATAAAATCTAGTTTACAAAAACCTTCAAAGAGTGTTTTGATTAAAGTACATAGTTTGTATAAAGATATACGGAACGCATAAACAAATCATAAAAAAATATTTACCATTTGCTTAAATATTTTCTTGTCGTTTAATTTTTCTTATAGAATACTTATATTCTCTACTCATTTTTGTGGCAATGACACTCTGTCAGGCAAATCATAAATTGACATATCTTTGTTACTCTATCTAATTATGCTTAAAATTAAAGTTGATGTTTTATAGTTCACCAAGTTGCACTTCAATGCTTGCCAATTGTGCTTATAATACCTGTATATCTTTAAGGCTACAATTTTATCTTGAAACAATAAAGTTAATAATGTTCTTAAGAAATTATACAACAAATTACATACAACCTTTAGAATTTATGAATGTAAATACAACAATCTCTAAAAAAAGCAAATAAAATTAACGACAAAGGGGGAAATTGTTAATGATAAAAATATATACTTGATTAAATTTAAGTATTAACGAGATAAATATTAAAAACTAAAATTGTTTTATTTTTCACCTTAGCTTGGATGAAAAATCAGGAAACTTGTTTTAAGACTTTTTATAAAAATTTTAAAATTCTAGCGTCAAATTATTTTGATTCAAAAAGTTGGAAATAAGATAAGTATACATATATATAAATAGTATAAAAAAATTATTTAACTAAATAAAAGCATTAAACAACCTCTAAACAACTAATAGAGGGCTACATCTCCAGCCATATTGGATCTAAGATTAGATTTTATTTATTTATCAAAAGAAATTTTTATAGAAAAAAAAAAAATTATTATTAAAGCATTAATTCATTTGGATAACAAAATAAAAAATAAACTTGTCTGTAATATTATTTATACACACTTAAAAAAAGAAAATTTCTTTCTTTTCTTACATATTCTACACCTTTAACGTAAAAAATACTTTTAAGGTTAAAAATTATACCAAAAATGATCGGTTTTTTTAGTAAATTTTGTTTTAAAAGCTTCATATGGCCTTTTGTATTTGGTATTGTTTTTTGTATTTGTATTTATATATGACATATTGTATTCAAATTAGCATATTATATAAAAATATGCACAAACAAATAACACACAAAAATACAAAACAAACCATGTTCAGGGTATTGTAAATAACTTGCTCAGCTTTATTAAGATTTCCAAACTTTGATAAAAAACGCATTAAGAATGGAAAATAAGCTATTAGAACATTGTGCACTACGCTAGAATTAAATCGTAAGTTAATATAACTTCGAAGTGCTTTTGTAAACGCATTTCCAGAATGAGATGTAATAGTGTTGAATTGATAGCCAAAACCAACGTCACCAATTATATCAAATGAAAGATTAGACAAGTCACTCCAAACGTTTAAGTTAGTGCCATTTTCTTTATCACATGTGCATGACCAGAGCTGTAAAAGAAAATTATGCAGGAAAATTTTGTTTTATTTATTAGCAAATAATTTAAACTATTTAAACCTACCAAATAAATATTAAACAAAACGTAGACAAAAAACTCTTTCTTCGTTATACACTCTTTTGTTCAAACCTTAAAACTCTTGTCTCTTTTGTTCAAACCTTAAAACTCTTGTCAAAATGATGGATGTTTTTTATCAAGTTTGTTTAATAGAGACACTTTGAGTAATGATTGTTACGCGAAAAAATTTTCTCTGGACAATTGTTTAAAACACTAATTCAAAAAAGCAATCAGCGATTAAAAAACAAGCAATTTCCTTTTTTGAGTAGCACGAAAACTGATTACGAAGGAATTCCCTTGAGAGAATACCGCACGAGGAATTCTCGCTTAAAAGCAGTTGCGCTGAATTTAATGACAGTTGGAGTTTCGACGCAAAACTACTCATAGTTTTATATTTAAACTAATTGTAATAATTTAATATACAAATATTGAAATAAATATTAAATAAAAACCAACGTTGAATTCTCTTCATAATAAATAAGAAGTCAAAACATTGCATGGTACCAGAAGTGAACTGAAGACATTTTAGGAAAAATTTTTGGAAAAAATTGAAAAAACTTAAGGCGGATTTCCACTTACAAGAAATTTTCCGCGGAACGGAAAGGAAAAGAAAATCATGCAATCATGTAGCATAAAAAGTGCGTATCTAAAATTTTTTTGTTACATGATTGGATGATTTTATTTTCCTTTCTTTTCCGCGGAAAATTTCCTGTGAGTGGAAATCCGCCTTTAGGATGGTCTTATATTATACAAAATAATTGACGGAAATAAATCAAACAAAGTCCAAAATAATCTACTTTAGAAAAGGAGCGAATTTAACTTTAACTAAAGCGATTGACATATGCAGAACGTCAAATCATTTACATACGTAAAAGATATTGACGTTGGAAATAAGTTCATAAAACCAATACAAGCAAATGCGTAAATTGGACAAATACCGAAATGGGGAAAGTTCTCGAAACGAAAATGAGTCAAAAGGAAAATACTGGGTTAAACCAAATAAACAAAACTGGAAACAAATTAATAATGGCTTAAATCAAAAACAGCAACAAAGACGGTACAACAAATGCAATAGAAAACACCAACCAAGAAACTGACCTGCATTCGGTCAAACGTGCAGTAAATGTAATAAAATAAATCATTAGACAGCTTGCTGCAACTCCAAAAACATACACGAAAATTGCGCTGTAGAATACCGAGTGGAATCTGTATCATTTGGTGAAATGAATAGTAAAAAAGAAGCTTTGATTATTTTTAAAATTAATAATAAAGTGGTACGTAAAAAAATGACACCGGAGGTGATGTTGATGTTTTGTCAAAAAGAATCTTCTAACAACTAACATCACGTGATAATCTCAATTATACAAAAGTTAAAATACGTGGTTATGGAGAAAATCACATTCCAGTGCTTGGAACATAAAAGATAATTACTTTACAAGTTACTACTAAAGTCTTAAAAAGTTGGTAAAATTCTATGTAGTTGAAACAAAAAGCCTACATGTTCTTAGCTTACAAACTTCACAAGACTTAAAAGCTATTAAACTACTAAATAAAGTAAAAACTGTCGACACGAACGAAGCTAAGTTGCAGCTAAAAGAAATATCTACTCTAAACAAAGTAAAACCGGTTGAAAGAAAACAAGGAAAAGAATTAAAAGAAGAAATGCTAAAAATGTATCCAAAATTATATAACGGGTTAGGCGTGATTAGACCTGACATCATATCGAGTTGAAGAATGAATCAAATCCTGTTATTCATCCACCCAGAAAAGTTTATGTTACCTTGAGAAAAAAAGTGAAAACAGAGTTCGGTGAAATAGAAAAATGGAAAGTAAAAAAAAGGAAAATCAAAAAAAATGGAAAAGACAAAACAAAAACGGGAGTATTAAAAAGAGTAGATGAACCACCAGAACAAGTTAATTAGCTAGATGTCGTGGAAAAACTAAATGGACAACTAAGACTCTGTCTAAATCTAAGAGACTTAAATAAAGCTATAAAAAGAGAACATTTTCAATTACTTTTGAAGAAACATCAACTAGACTTTGTGGTGCAAATAATTTATAAGATAAAGATAGCTCTATGTTAATCACGATGAATACACTATTTGGAAGATTGAGGTTTACACGTTTACCGTATTGTACACATTCTGCTCAAAAAGTATTTCATAAAAGAATCAGTCAATGGTTTGATGATCTTCGTTTTGTGGAAACTGATATTTATGTTATTCTAATATAGGGCACAAAAGATGTAAGTCACGATGAAAATCAAATAAAATGCCTAAATCGAGCTATAAAAATGGGAATGACCCTAAATATTGAAAAATACCAATTTCGAACACAAGAGGTGATATGTTTAGAACACAAATTATCAACAAACGGAGTACAACCAGATAAATCAAAAATTAAAGCCATTATTGAAATGCCAAAACCTAAAGATAAAACAGGAGTTCAAAGATTTCTAGGTATGGTAAACTATGTTGGTAAATTCTACCTAATTTATCAGAAACAACGAAACCATTTCAAAATCTAGTTAAAAAAGGAAAACACATGCAATGGGGCGAAGCACAAGAATGATCCTTCAGAAAAATTAGAAAACTGCTATGTTTGGAAGAATGTTTTGCATTCTACGATATCGAAAAACTTGTAATGATGCGAGTAGACGCATGCAAAAGTGGTGTTGGAACGGTACTACTTCAAAATAAAAACCAACTGCATTTGCATCAAGGTCAATGACACCTGTCATTGGTAATATTGCATGTATATTCCAGCAATATCATTGGTAAACTCATAAAAATATTTCATATCACAATAATTTTGTTACATTAGGAAAAATATTATATTTTCTCTTGTGTCAGGGTAAGATTTGTCAATGTTACACTATTTTACCTTAATGCTAAATTTTTAAAGATAAAATGCTAAATTTTCAAAGATAAGGAGTTATTTCCCCTCGACTTTATTTCATGAACTTCAGTAACATTTTTTACTTACATTTATTCAGTAACATTTGTTTTTTTACATTTGTTAAATAACATTTGTTATTTTGTACTAATACTGTATTGATTTTTTAATGTTTTTTTTTATTTGAATTTTTCATTAATTTGTAACTTGTGATTGATTTTTCTTGTTGTACCTGATATAAAGTTTTTTTTTAATTTTTTGTTTATACATTTAAAAAAATAAACAGTGTTATTTAAAAATATAGCTTTTTTTATAATAGGTAGCTTTGAGTATAAAAATACTGAATAGGTATTGCAAGAAAGTTGGTAATATGAAGGTTTACAGAATGAATGCTGATTTAGAATTGACAAAACAAAGTTTATTTTTTAGACTTGTATTTACAAGCAATAATTGATGATGGTTATGGAGTAATCAAATAAAGTTACAACAGTGGTAAAAAGCGAAAGACAGCGGATGCAAGTTAATGATAATATTTTATTGATGAAAAAATAACGTAACAATATCTGAATCCACACACTAAAAATTTGACACCCTAATATTGATGACAAAATTCCATCATAATCCTTGAAAGAGGTAATACTGTATACCATAAAGTATCCATAATGAGTTATTTTAAAATCTTGCATTGAAATCCAACAGAGTTATACTCATTTTTATACAACTGATATTTAACTCAAGTTATAACAATTTATGACTTCCCAAAAAAAATTATTCTACCCAAAAAAGTCTAAATATTTAAATAGAAATACACAAAAATGAATTCTGAATTAGTTTAGTACTCTTTTTTTTTTAATTAACAAACGTATTGATCATAAAAACACTTCTAAAGCAAATGATCTTTAGATTCAGAAAGAAATTTCAGCTTATTCACTTTTTTGAGAAATTATTGCCATTGTAGTGGCAATGATTTCCATTGTAGAGAATAATTGCCATTGTAGTGGCATTGTAGTGTAATTTTCATGCAATCGTTGCCATTGTAGTGGCCACCGTTTTAAGGTTGAAGAAAAATGTGAATAGCTTGAAGTCATTTTTTACTAGGCATTTCACAATGCAATTGAACACAACAAGGTGAAAATAAAGTTCCGTGGAAGAAAGTACTTCCAAAATAACCTTTTTCTTATGTATTTTGCTGTTCATACAATTAAAAAAAAAATACAAAGAAACGTTTTCAAATACGAAGAAACTTTTAAAAAAATTGATTTACATAGATATGGATGACCAAAGTCATCACAACCTTTTAATGAAAGCCTTATTTTGGCTTTCAACAAGTGTACATTTAAACAAAATTATTAAAAAAAAATTCTATAAAACTACGTTAATATATGAAAAAAATAGCATCTCCGTTATATATTTAGAGTAAAAGACGATAAATAGAACTAATTCCTATAAATTTAAATTATATTAAATAAAAATAAAACAAAATATTGGAAGTTTAGTTTAACAAAATTTATCAAGAAGGTTTGTATATTAAATTATAAAGCATTTCATTTGATTTCAAAATTTCTTTTTTTAAATGAAACTTAAATGAATTTCACCATATTGAAATCGTTATTTTTAAAGCTTTTCCATATTTAAGAACCTCGGTATGTTATGCTGTACTCTTTATTTATAGCTAATTTACTAGGCAGTGTATATATATCATTAGACTTCAGAGATTAGTTATGTTTTGATTTATTTTAAATTTTATTTCAAAGAGTTTGGCGTAAAATTTTTAAAATGATTATACATGAAGATCATGTGTTAAAATCTGTTATACATTTAACATTTTCATGCTCATGTTTCAATTGTTTAGTAAGGAAAAGGAAGCAAAATAGGATGAATAGCATTGAAGAAAGCTTCTGTATTTTTCGAAGTACCTTCAGATTAGGCAAATCTCTTGTATTGCTGTCTAATGCTTCCAAAGGTGCAAAGTTTCCACATGCAGTGAGTTTTGAAAACTCAATTTTAAACTAACAATACGGGTATTTGTTACTATGAGAT